TTTTTTTTTTTTTTTTTTTTTTGAGACAAAGTCTCACCAAGTATCCTTGGCTGTCCTGAGACTCACTGTGTAGACCCGGCTGGCCTTGAACTCACAGAGACCTGTTTGCCTCTGCTTCAGTCTCTGTTGGGATTATAGGCGTGGGCCACCATGCCCAGCTCCACCCTTGACTTCTGTCTACTGCCTTCTAACAGTAGACTTCCTCCTCATCTCCAAGGTGTGACAATCAAAAATGTCTCCAACTATCACCAGCATCCCCTGGGATGTGGGGCAGAGACTTGCTGCTGGTCCAGAATCTGCATCATGCTATTGCTTTCAGCCTAGTGTCTCCCAGGCAACCAGATGGTCCTTATCATGCTTCCATGCTAGCCCCCAAGCCCAACACCTGCGCCTCCCTCAGGGCTACTTGGGGTTTGCATCCTCAGCCACTCTTTCCTTCTCCTTAGAAAGCAGCTGCTTCTTTCTCAGCATCTTTTCGTCTGTCTTCTCACAGTCTGACCCCTCCTCTTACTGCTGAGCGGCCGGCCGAGGTCTGAGTCTTTGTTCCCGTTTCAGCTTCCTTGCCTTCTGCACCCACTGCAGTGTGCTTCCCTTAAGGATGAACAGTAACCTTGTATTTTATTTTCCATGTTCTGATGTTTTGACACTTGGGTCTTGCTGTCTCTGCAGATAGCATCCCTCCTAAGGCTAACAAACCCTGCAACCAAGGCTTGCATGGACATGAGTCCTTCAAGTACCAGCCAGCCATGACATGACCCACTTACTATCACCTCATTGATAAAGGTCCCACCAGAGGTCATTATTCCTTTGCGCAATAACCCTAAGAGCAGATGGGAGAATCCCAGGACCACATCCTATGCTCCACAGCCTGCAGACGTTATTCACCCTAGCCTGCTCACCAGCCTTGACCATCACCTTCTTACAGAAACCACACTAAAGGCTCTTGCCAATCTATTCCTCTTACTGTGTCTCCCGGCTTACCCAGTCTTTTCTGTGTGCCCACATGGTCTGGCATGTATGCCCTCTCCCC